TTTCCTTTGATTTTTAGAGAGAGTGGAAGGGAGGGGGAGAGGGAGGGAGAGAGGAGAGAGAGAGAAAACATAGATGTTGTAACATCGATTGGTTGCCTCCCACACTCGCCTGAAAGGGGGATGGGGACCAATTGGACCTGCAACCCAGGTACCTGCCCTGGACCCTGAATCAAACTGTGACCCTCCCATGAGCAGGCTGAGGTTCTAACCACTGAGCACACCGGCCATGGCTCCCAAATAAGTCTTTAGGACTCACTCCCTGCCTTCCTAAAAAAAAAAAAAAAAATTCTCCATTAATTACCTGCCCTCTGCAAAAAGAGCCAAAATGAGGCGTGACTGTGGTCTGGCGCTCAGCCTCCCTCCTAGGGCCTGAGACAGACACAAAGGCATGGGGAGGGGTGCGGGCGGGTAGGAGGCTCTAGCACCCCACCCCCCACCAAGGGGAATTGGCTTTGGCTCCGCTGCTGTGGGAATGGGGTGTTGTGGGGGGGTCAGTGTTTGGTTTTCTGGCATTTCATTTATGCCTTGGAAGCTGGCGTGGACTGTCAGGGGACCCGGGGAGGGGAGCCAGGCTGGTGGCAGGGGGTGTCTCCGTGAGCAGTCGCTGCCATCCCATTGGCTTCCTCCCTGCGTTGAAGCCAAGATCAAACATCAAATACGGCCCGGCTGGTGCCTGGGCTAATGGAGCTGGGCAAGCATCTTCCAGATGTGTGCAGCTGTTTGCTCCCACTCCCCCTCCAGAGTCTTGAGCTGGGAGACTCATGTCAGCTGCTCTGGGGGTTTCAGGTCCCCAGGTTTCAGGGCTGAGGAGGCTGGTTTCCCCTGCTCCCACCGTGACCACAGCTCTCCATGATGGAGACTCGCATTCCTTCCTTACCTCCTTCTAGGTAAGGATTATTCTCATGTACTACCAACTGGGAAGTCCTTCTTGCTGTGCGGCCTGCATCCTCCCTACTGTAAGAGAAGGTCTCCTGGGGCCCGAGGATGGCAGAGGAGGAGAAACCCAGGCAGAGAGGCAGGAAAGAGGAGCTGGGATGCTCCGACAGGGGGAAATGTGGGGAGCTAATGAAATACGTGAAGCTCCAGCTAATTTGAAAATGGGAGTGCTCCACTTCCAGGCACTCAGCCATCAGAGGGGATATCAGCCTCTTAGCCGCCCGAGTCCCTCTTCCCAAATGCTATCAGCTTCGAATAAGGAAGCGATACAATTGAATTTATCACAAACTTAATTGTTTACAGAAATTTAACCAGCTGCCTACATGGACTGGGAGGAATGGCCTAGTGGGTATATGGGAAAGCTGGAGAAAGAGATGAGGAGAAGGGAAAGAAATGGGGAACCAAAGAGAGATGGGGAGAAGAGGGGAGAAAAGGGTAAGAGGTAACGGAGGAGGGGACACAACAAAGAAGAGAAGGAGGAGGGAAGGTGTGCGGAGAAGGAGTGTCAGTCATGTGAGAGAGTGCTGTGTGGAGAATGAATGGATCTGCCCAGCCACTGTGGCTCCGTGGTTGAGTGTCAACCCATGAACCGGGAGGTCACGGTTCGATTTCCAGTCAGGCGTAGGTCCAGGTGGTGGGCTCAATCCCCAGCAGGGGGCGTGCAGGAGGCAGCCAATCAATGATTCTCTCTCATCATTGATGTTTCTATTCTATCCCTCTCTCCCCTCCTTTCTTCTCTGAAATTATATA